GGGGAGGCGGAGGTGGGGAAGAGACAGAAATATTTAATAAATAAATAAATAAATAAATAAATAAATAAATAAATAAAGTTCAAATACTTATATGATGGAAAAAACTCCAGCGATGTCAGTTATCCACAGAGTACTGACTGACAAGCACCAGGGGGTTGCACCAACAGAAGTATCTGGCATTAGTCTCTGCTTCTGAAAGACTGAAAATTTATGAGTGGTTCTCATCAGGCTGATGTTCCCTTCAAAATGATAGATGTTTTAAGCATACACTCATATGTATCTGCAGCTCCAGGTGCTCAAGTGTCCTCCAAGACATCGCATACACGCACTTGTATACACAAATAAAGTAAAACTTTTTAAAAAAAAATAAAGATTCTTGTCATCATTATGTAGTGGATTGAATATACATTTTAACAATAACTATTTGGTATTACATAAACATTTTAATGGTTATAGTTACAGTGGAATTATTCCCCAAAACTGTAACCAGATATCAAATAGTGCAAGGGACATGTTGAATGTTTGTGATTCTAAAGTACTTCTTTTTATTTTTCTATTCTAAAATGTTATGCCTGAATTAATAATAAAAGATCGTATGTGTTGTTTTAGTATTCTCCTCCACTATATGTGTGTTCTGATAGGGCATCTGAAGACTCTACAGAAATCAATAATAGTACTTCACAATCTGCCTTAAGAGACCTTAGTAGGGAAGCATGTAAAATTCTGGGTTGGGACATTTATTAATCAGCCCAATTGCTGATTAATAAATTAAGAAAGAAATGACACTTCCTATGTTCACTTTCACTGCTGCCATTATGAATCTACCTTTTAGACGAGAAATTATCCCTGGAAAAGTCTGTATCACTTCCCCAGTTTACACACTAAAGGGAGAAAAGTGAGGTTTCCTTCCTTCCTATCGTTTTTGGACCAATAAAGTGAAGGTGATGGATGACAGTTCAGAACTGGGAGAAATGTTGAGGATTTCAGTGTGGCAAATGATTAAGGACCTCTTGTGCATTTACTGTTATCTAAAGACTGCATTATAAATCCAGAATTTTGTCACTATTTCTTAATATTATTATACAAAATGTGTGTATAGTAGAGTGTTTTTCTGTTTGCCACTAATCTAAGGAATGGGAGGCAGAAGCAGGCAGATCATCACAATGCTGAGGCCTTATGAATCTACATAGGAGCACCAGTCAGTCCAGACTACAGACAGGACTTAACCTCCCAAAGGATTAATACAATTAAATAAATGAAATAGTTATCAATTTCTGGGATTTCATTATTTATATTTCTCTTCTGAGAAGTGAAAAAAATTCTATCAAGTGATCTATTGATTAATTTACTTACTAAGAAACAAAGCCTTACTATAAAGCCTTAGGTGGCTTCAACTCACAGTTCTCCTGCCTCAACTTTCCAACTGCTCACTTTGTAGTAATTCACCTCTATTCCTGGTATTCATAATCACAAATAGAAAAACATAATATTTAAACTGTAGAAAATAGTAGCTTATTCAAATAGTTCTTTTTCTTATTTTGTTTTGCGATGTTAGGCTCCTTGATTCACAGGGAAACATATTCCCACCAATTAAAAAGTGACTTGGGAAGGAATTTATTCCCAGAGCAGAGACTGTATCATACTTAAACAGCACACTGTGAAATATGTGTTAGAAATTGATTAAACTCTTTTTTAAATAAATTCATACTGAAACTTAGAAAAACAAATTTATTTATCATTGTCTGTCTCATGCCTATGTAAAAGGTGAGATATGTTTTACATGGTTCTACTTTGGATACATGTCAAAGTAAATGTTTCTCTGTTGTTTTTTGTGTTGGCTTTAAGATGATATTACCATGTCTTTTGAAGGCAAAATATACAATCCTTTTAAATATGAAAGTTAATATAGCAGAAAATATTGCTAAAATCAATAAACACATTATCATCTTAAATACAATCTTTAGTGATTCTAGTAGTAGTTGATTATTATTTAGCTACTTATGGAGTAATGATAGTCTGTGCCCCATGTAATTATCTATTTTACAAATATAAAAACCAGAATTCATATATAATAAAATCTAACTAACTATATAGATAAATGATCAAAATATTGGAGAAACAACACTGAATTGTACATGTGACTTGAAGTTATAAAAAGAGCATGATTATTAAGAATTAACATCAGTGAGAAAAGTATCTAAAATTATTTGGGACATATTAGCATATTTTCTATTTCAGTTTATATATTTTGGCAATAAAATGATTTCTGAATTTACTTATTCTATTCTACTTTTGTTTCCTATATTTGAATTGATTTAATTTACCAGCTTAGTATGCTTCTGGATGCATTACTCATATTGAGATATTACATTATTTGATATTACAATATTAACATCTAAGAATTTCATGGTTTCACAGGCTATGCTATTTACTAAGCTTAAATATCATCAGTCAATACAAAGATTACAGTATTTGGTAAGAAGGTCTAACAGTTTTGTAAATTTTTTAATATTTCATGTGTGACTGCTAACATTTTATATTTTCCACTTTGAACTCCATTTGTTAGTAGAAGTTAATTGTTTGAAAATTTTCAAACAGGAAAAAAAGGATGGCTGCTACATCCTTTAATGATGCTTTGTGGGACGTGGTGCTTGTGTGTGCAGAAGCTGGCAATAAAGTACAGTGAAAAACTGATTTTCTAGCATGAATTAAAACAGAGATTCAACAAGCAATAATCAAAATAAGCTACAAAGAAAACTGTAAGTATGTCTGGATAGATATGTGAATTTCCAATCTCCCTCATTTAACCCTTGGATTAAAGTGGGAAATTTAATAAATGTGAAAAAATTGATCTGTTTTTCATTTAAAATATTTATTTATATCAATTATTAGTTAGTTGGAAATTTCATATATGAATACAACATACATTGATGATATTATCTTACAAAAGTAACGTTGATACTTCCCAATTAAAACAGAAATAAGATTTCTGTACAAGTAGAAAAGCAAAACATCTGCCAATGTTGTTTTAACAAGTATTTTTAAATATTTTTAAAGTATTTCTATTCAGAAACAGACATTTTCATTGCAATGGTGTGAAATTCCACAAAACATATTGCAATATGGAAAGACTCTGTATGCCACACCTGCTTCCCACATCACACAATCAAACACAATAAAACCAAAGCAAAGGGCACATTTTATCTTATCCATTTCTTATTTTGTGACAATGGCACCTTTCATGGCGATATTTGTCAAGTAGATCTTGCTTAAACCATAGTGATCTTCAAGAAAATGATCTAGCTGTAGGGTTTTGTCAGTGTCTATGTATATAGTACTAGATTGTGAAAATTAGGTGAGGAAGCATGGCACAATGTATTATGTAGTGTTTATGTGGTGTAATGAAGAAGAAAAGATCTTTGTAAACAAATTTTATGACCATTAAATGACAATTTAGTACTGCCAACTTTTACTAAAAGTTTTTATATGTTTTGAGTTTCAGTTATAACAAGTTTATATTTTATTATTTTTTTTTACTTATTCCTATTCTTGTCAAAAATTCTTTAGGAAGTCCAAGTAAGGCTCAAACCTTCCCAATTTGCAACTATATTTGAGACTGAAATTTGAACACCAGAAATATTTAACGCTGTGAAAACACAACTTGGAAGTCAAATTCCTTTAGCAGTAACTTTGCTGATTTATCTTTTCGTGCATATATTACTGAACCTGAAATTTTTTGACACATGGAGGCAAATAAGACAATCAGATTTTTTTTGACAGAGTGGATGATGGTTGTAAATCCTACATAACACCTGTGGCCACATACAGTAAGAGAAAAGGTGCCTACTACTGAGTACAGTTAAATGTATGCACGAGTCGATAGAGGATTTGTATGTGGAAGACAAGGGTAGAATGAGTACCATATGTAAGCATTTTGGATTTTCAAGGGCTCTAAAATACTTCAAAAAGTTTGGAAATGTTGGGACGGTTTATAATGAAATAATGAAAAGCAAGAGATACAAGGCAAAAGAGTTTAAAAAGAGTTATTGTTCTAAAGGCAAATAAGACATACACAATGAAATGAACGGCAGCATTCTCAAGCACAAAACCCACAGAAGCTTGTAATGAAAGAGTGGAATGAGCAGACTAGTTTTATACATATATGTGAGGTGGGTATGAATGACTTAGAGAATAGGAAGTGAACTCTATGTTGCTACACTAGAATTATTCAGGATAGAGAGTTGTACCCCCTTCAGTACATTTCCCTCACCATGTGTGCTAATGGGGAAAGTGTGGGACAGCTTCTGAACGTTGAGCATACTGAGAGAGAAATGTCTTAATATTTTGTATTTTTTCCACTTCCTAGTTTAAGTAGAGAAACTTTAAAAACAGTATAAAAAATATGAGGTTGATTTTCACATTCTATAAACTAAAAACAAAAACTACATTAAATATTTTAAATTACATATAATATTTGGTGCACAATTCATTACTAAGTGTATTAAATAGCCTGAAAACAAAAATAATCTAACCAAAAGGGAAATGATGCTGAAATAATATATATTATCCCTTAAACATTTTATACCTTTTTGAAAACTTGCTTGTGTATTATTTAATTTTTTAAAATTAATCACAACCTAATAATCATGAAAAAATATTGGGTAGACATAAAATATCAATTATATGATAAATAATATAAATTCAAATTTTGCATTTCAAATATTGAAAAGTAAAATATCAAGTATAATTATTCCAGATGTCCAAAATTGCAAACAGTACAAATTAACAAAAAATCCTGATTTTTTTTTTACTGCTGCTCCTGATTGGCAAGTGATACACTTCCCCATTATTTGAGAAAATATGTAAGATGTACATGTTTATTTTTTATTCCTTTAGAAACATTAGGAAGTTTTAAGTTGTTGTACCTGTAACTTAGATGCAATATAAGAAAACCAAATACAGTAACGTGACTTCTGCTTTGAACTGTATCATCTCTAAGCATGGATCTCACAGAGAGCAGGAAAGAGAACAATGCTTCCACAGTCACCCAATTCGTCCTTCTGGGATTCTCAGACCTACCAAACCTCCAGGGGTTTCTCTTTGGTATGTTCTCCATAATGTACTTAATTATCCTAATTGGAAATGGCTTCATAATTGTGATAACCAGAATTGATCCTTCACTGCACAAGCCCATGTATTTTTTCCTGGCAAACTTTTCTTCTCTGGAAATCTGTTATGTGTCAGTCACTCTTCCTAGAATTCTGTACAACATCGGTACTCAGAATAGAAACATCTCCAAGCTGGCCTGTGCCACACAAACATGCTTCTTCCTTATGCTGGGAGCCACTGAATGTTTCCTTCTGGCTGTGATGTCTTATGACCGCTATGTGGCCATCTGCAATCCTCTGCACTATCCCCTGGTTATGAACTCAATCAAGTGCATTCAGCTAGCAGCAGGCTCCTGGCTCGGCGGCATCCCAGTCCAGATAGGACAAACCTGTCAGATATTCTCTCTTCATTTTTGCAGTTCTAACCAAATCAACCACTTCTTCTGTGACTTACCTCCCATTCTCAAGCTAGCCTGTGGAAACACATTTATTAATGAGTTGTCTGTCTACCTAGTGGCTATCCTCTTTGCTGCTTTTCCTTTTATGTTGACTCTTGCTTCTTATAGCAAAATCATTGCCACCATTCTGATGTTACCAACAGCCACAGGACAGACAAAAGCCTTCTCCACATGTTCTTCCCATTTGCTTGTGATATTTTTGTTTTTTGGATCAGCTGCTGTTACTTACTCAAAAACAAAGTCCACACATTCTCCAGAAACTGACAAACTATTTTCTCTGTTCTACACCATTGTGACTCCCATGTTCAATCCTTTGATATACAGCCTCAGGAACAAGGATGTGATTGCTGCATTGAGAAAATTGTTAATTGGAAAAAAAGGCAAACTTTTGTGTACTAATTTCTAAAGTAGTTTATTTATCTTCCTGTCATATAGAGATCATCTTATCCTCAGTGCCACAGACTACTTCTTCGTCCATGAATACTTACCTCCCATCAAAGAACTGAGGTGCTGATTTAAACATTCTGTGCCCTATTCATAATTTTACTGAAAATAAACATTTTAGCTCTTTTATCTGTCACAAAATAATGTAGCACACTAACCTCCCCGCTAAAAATTCCCTGATGATTTAATTCCTTTCTTAACTATCTTTCTCAGTTAAGCAGTCTCTTCTCTCTCTCTCTCTCTCTCTCTCTCTCTCTCTCTCTCTCTCTCTCTCTCTCTCTGTGTGTGTGTGTGTGTGTGTGTGTGTGTTTGTGTGAAAATCTTTATCTAATTTCCTGTGGGGCAAAAGAATTCCATCCCTGGCACCTGGTAGGTTCGGCAAGTACTAGTTTTAAGGGTATAATTGACTAGGAACATGTGTAATGGGTAGGGCAGTGAGGAACAATGTAGAACAAAGAACAATGTAAAACAAAAGAGATTAAGGGAGATTTGATAGAAATTAGAAAGCAGAGAAAGAATAAACATGAACAGATGATTCCTGTTATGAATAGATCTTCACCCTCAGATTTTTAGCCCCCATTTAGCTATTCGTGGTGTCTTTAATTGAACCCTGTAATGGAATCTTAGAGGGGAAAACTTTTAAGCCTTGCTAAATGATTTCTTTGTCATTTTTCTCTCTATCTAATCAGACACTTGTGTGACATCCTATGTGATACTTCATTGTGTGTGAACAGTTTTGTGAATGAACTGACCTTTCTTTGTTTCATGTTATTGCCTTGCTTCTCTTTCTTTTAATAATATTTTACTAGAGTAAAATTATGTTGGTTTGTTCAAATTGCCATCAACTATATGTTAGGCCAATGTCTTTTTTCTGAAATATTCTGAAGTTATTGTGCTAGTTATTAAGTTCTTTTTCTGTAAACTTTGGAATTCCCATAATTATCTCCAAGTAACAAGCATGTCATAATGACACTGAAGAAATTATTATGTAAAGAATTAACTCGAATTCATCCTAACATATTGGCAGATACAGCTTTGTATTTGCTTGTATTAGGATTTAAAAAAATTCTGTTTAATTTTATGACATCTGTTTCTTATAAAGAAATTATTATCAATTGTAATTATTTCCAAGAAAAATTTCATTTGTATACATTAAGATAAAGTTTTCTATGCTCTATCAAATAACTGGCTCTTCCAATTGTACACATACATTTTTGTACAATATTCTCTTTCAAAAATACATATTTTTTATAAAATAAAGGCATTTAATTTGGCTTATTGTTCCATTTAGTTAGAATCCTTAGTTACAGAGGACTCAGAGCCCCATTTTCATACCACAGGCAGCAGAAGAAATGCATACTGGGAATGGCTTGACTCATGTTGTTTTCTTTTTCAAAATAAATTTAAGTTATTGGTGAGTGTATTTATTATTTTTAATTGTATAGATTTATTGGTTTGTATTTTAAACTAGCTCTAATCTAGAGTTGTGTAGCTAGTAGAAGAGTTGGTTGAAGTTGGTTCTGTAAGTTTGGACTCTGTTCATGTCTGTAGGACATTTCCTTAATTTCTTGTTGATACAGGATGTCCTAACCTTCTCTGGACAGTATTATTCTCAGCCTGGTGGACATGAGCTTTATAGCAGTATAGCTTTATGACCAAGACAAGAGGAAATATTCTTTTTAGAAGAACCTCGCCTCACCGGCTTACTCCTTAAATGTTTGACCAGACTCTCTTGATTGATAGGATGTTAAATGAACATAACATAAATAAAACATTTTCTTCCATGATTTGCTTTGGATTATGGTCCCTATCGTAACAGAAAGCTGAGGAATACAGCAGATAATAGATATAAGATAAAAGATATGCACAAAATTTGAACTTGCACATGTATCTAGTTCTGTTTAAAAATGACTGTACAAATAGTGTGGTTCATAAATAAAAGCCTAAGGTTTTCTTATTTGCTTGATATTTTTTCAGTGTTGAGACTCTGTTTGATGTTTCAGTGCTGAGACTCTTACCAAGATTCTCAGGCATATTAAGAAAATTTTGTGCTACTTATAGGCGTTGATAAAACCTTAAAGATCTCATTTTAGTGTTTGTAATTTCATTAGAGATGACTATATGTATTAAGTATGATTCAGGTTTGTTTATAGGTAAATAATTCTGCATGTTACATCATTATATTCAATAAAATAAATGTTATTGATCTGAAATAATAAAAATGAAGGAATATTCTAGGAATATTAGCAATTAGTTTTTAATGAATATTGACAAGTTGTTTATAAAATATTTTTTCATGAGAAAATAAAAAAACTATATAAAATTCGTGAAAAGGACAGAACTATATACGTAAGAATATATTTGTACAAAGATAGGCACATCACATGTCTACTTATATTCATGGCAAATGTAAGTATAAATAACGNATACTTATCTTCTCATTCTTTCTTTATTTCACTTAAGAAAAACCAGTGATTACTCCAGGTAATCACAAGCTACTGTTCCCAGGTTTTAGAAGATAATAGAATTTTAAGACCAGCAGGATTACATAGTGAGTTCCAGATTTAGTATTATACTGTTATACAGGGATACTATCTCAAACACACACATAATACATACACATACACCACACACACACACACACACACACACAACACAACACATGCTCATGCATTAATATAATAGGAAAATTCTGATACTTTCAGTGTGAACTTTTTCTTTATCTCAATACTGAAAAACAAAACTGAATTTATAAAAAGGAGTAGTTTAGTTAAGTTTTGTTTTCCCTTTTCTTTATATATATATATATATAGTTTTGTTTTTCGAGACAGGGTTTCTCTGTGGCTTTAAATTCATGTGACTAATTCCTTGAGGAAGAAAACAAAGTGCTTTCTTCTTCAATTAGCATGCAGTATAGGGAAAGAACTTATTCACAGAGAAACCATTTTCTACTTACTCTCACCCTTGTCCTGACAGTACAATAAACGCTTAAAAATTATTGGCCTATTTTATGTTAAGGAGGTATTTAAAGTTTAAATATCAGATTTGTTATTATTATTTTAAGCTGATAAATATAGGTAAAATTATAATTCTTATAATTCTACACAGATTGGCAGAAATTACTCTTGAAAAATAATAAGTTCATAAATAGCTTGACTCATATTTAAATATCAACATTAGGAGATGATTATTAAAATAATGGAAAAGAATTTTGTATGTAATTTTTAAAATAATTTCATCTTACTGCTCTGATATTTTAAGCATTCGAGTAAATAACAAAATGTAAAATATAATTTAGAATAAAATCTAATACAATAAAGACTCATAATATGGATATATATATAGAATTATTTATTATTTATCTTTTATCAAGAGTACAGTGAGTGAATTTGTCCTCTTCGTAGCTTCTTCTTCTCAAGAGCTGAAGATAAACCAGTGGCTCCAAATGTCATTTAGTAATTAAGTGTGTTGTTGCACAACTTAAATCAAATTTAAGTAGGTCAAGAAATACTTTATAGGGATGAAACATTTTAATCATATTCACTTAAAAACAATGATATAGGAAGGTTTTACTTGTCTTTAAAGAGAGTCTGTTAGATTCACAGCGGAACAGAATAATGAGCAAAACACAGGACCATTTAAGAAAGAAAAATCACAAATGAAGTAGTAAAATCCTTGCCTGTCATTTAGGATTTGTGTACTGTAGCACAGAGAAAACTTCAACAAAACGTTTGCTTGTGGAGTCAAAATATTGGAGTCCCATTTAGGAGAGCAGTAGAACAGAAAAAAATGTAAACAAGATTTCTGGGTGTGGCATCTAAAGACGGTTCTATTTATAATTTCCTTAAAGGTAGATGATTCTCATTACCATGATGAGTGTCAAACAAAGGGCTGAATTTTTAAAATGTCATTTTGACTAAATCATGATAAAATATTTTGAATGAAATACTTAGAAAATGAAGAGCTAAATGCAGCATTTGAGAACAAATTTAAATAACACTTGTAGAAATACATATGACTTGGCTATGTCAAGCGTGTTTTTTGTTTGTTGGTTTGTTTGTTCATTTGTTTTATTGTTTTCCTGTGCAAAGTCATGTAATTGACATGAAAGTCTTAAATAGTTTTAGTATCGTGCAGTCAATGGAGGGCTTAGCATATTATGGCCAAATGCTACTACAGTATATAACTCACAACTACAGTATATAACTCACACAGTGGAGGAAAGTGGAATAGAATTCAACTACTCCACACTTAATAGAACTCTATCCTATGTTGGTGATTCTTTTTTTTTAGATTTATTTATTTATTATGTATATAGTGTTCTGTCTGTCTATATGCTTGTTGTCAAGAAGAGGGCACAAAGTCTCATTACAGATGGTTGTGAGCCAACATGTGGTTGCTGGGAATTGAACTCAGGACCTCTGGAAGAGCAGTCAGTGCTTTTAACCTCTGAGCCATCTCTCCGGCCCCCATGGTGATGCTCTTACTAAACATTTTTGTTCTGTACAAGGTCAAAAACATCATATTGAAGGGATGAAAGGAGAATAGGTGCAAATGAATAGTCTGAGACCATCTCAGATGAAATTTGTTAGGAAGCATCCATCAGGTTTGTAAAAGTATCATTTTAGCTGCTGCAGTGAATGAGATTTTTTTCTGCTGTACAAAAATACTCATCCTGAATGTACAAAAACCCCAATTCTGATGAAAGATGGTTGGAAAGAAAATTGTTTTCAGCAAAGTAATTTGATAAGACCATCAAATAAAGTTTTAATAAGCAGTGTGATGCATTCTCAGAAAATAATGAATCAATAAATTATCTAGAAATGAGAAGGGAAACATAGCAAAGAATCAGTTTAATAAGTGTTACTTTGATATTACTTTATTTTCCTCTCACTAATAAAAATCATGAAATGCATTTTATTCTCTCACTGATAACAAACAGAAGAATTATAGATGAAACCC